CGGCGGCGGCGGCGGCGGCAGCGGCGAGCAGCGGCAGCTGCAAGTTGGGCTGCAGGGGCAGCGCATACACTACAATGGCTGCTGGAAAGAGGCGTAAGGAAACAATTTCCAGGCCCGCCGCGTCCAGCCCGAAATATGAGAAAAAAATTATTAGAAATTCCGCGGGCGGTGTAAAGGCGGCGGACGGGCCGGAGGGAGGATGTTAAAGCCCCGCGGTGAGTTCTGCCGGGGTCCGGGCGGCGGCGAGGCGGTTAGCGGGAGGAATATCAGGGTTATTTAAATTATGGGACTGGCGAGGGGCAGAGGAGCGGCGGCGGCGGCCGCGGGAGGAGAAGTTCGTGCCGCCCGCAGCCCTGCCCGGGACCCCGGGGAGACGGCAATAAAATAAAAGAAAATGGGGCGCGGGGCGGCGGGGTCCGGGGCGGCCGCTGACAGGGCGGGGGGCGAGGGGCCGGCGCCGGAGGTGAGGGCGCTGGGAGGAAAACACGTTCGCCCGGGGTCTGGAAAGTTTGAAAAGTTTTCCTCCTCCTCCTCCTCCTCCTCCCTGGTGCTGTGAATATTGTGACAGCGGCAGCGGCAGCAGCGAGAGCGGAAGACATTAGAGACCCGAAAAATAAGGGAAAAATTAATATAAATTCGGTTTTGGGAGTAAACTCTCCGCATTTTCCACCAAAACATCCCGGAGGAAGGTCGCTCCCCGAGGGGCCTGGCGAAAACCCGCGGTCGGCAGTATTTGGGGGGCACTCGGCGTGACTTGGGGTAACTCTGCCCCCCTGTCGAGAGAGGGGCTCTTTTCCGCAGAAACGGGTCTGCTTTCGCCCTCCCCTCAGGTGGGCGAGCCGGGCCGGGTGCGGGGTCTGCGGGGAGGTGCGAGCCGGGTGCGGGGAGCGCGGGGGGAGCGGCGGGGGTGCTAAATGAAAGCAGGAGATCGGCACCGAGCAGGGACAGCTTGTTGTCAGTATCATAAACAACCAAAATGGAGGGAGAACTCAGGCATATAACCAAATAAAAATTTTTAAAAAATCGCAAAAAATCCCTAAAAATCCGGGATGCTCCCCCTTTTCTCGCTAAAGGTAGAAGTGTGAACCGCCTTTCCCCTGAAGCCCATTTTGACTTTGCAGAGACCAAGGAGTTAATATTTATTTATTTTTTAAAACTTTCGAAGAGCAAAAGCCTTTTATAACTCAACCGACAATGAGAAAACGTGAAAATCCGATGCTGGAGAAGCAGAGGGAGGGCGGGGGAGGTGGTGGAGCAGAAACTGCTGAACTTACTGGGACTGTGGGCTGATCTGAGATAAGATAAACACTATATTTGCTATTTTATAACTCCTTTTTAATGATCTTTGCGAGGTTTGGGCTTTTTTTTTGCTTTTTTTTTTTTTTTTTTTTTTTTTTTTAGTGGAAAGAAAGTGATGCCATTTTCTTAATAGAGTTAATATGTGTGATTGGAAGAATAAACCTTTCCGGCTGTAGATCGCATTTTCGTCGCGTTTGTGCCTCAGGTTTTGTTCCTGGTTCCCTCCTTTCTTTAAACTGGGCTCGGGAGCAGAGGGGTGGAGAGGGGATGCTGCTCAGAGCGCCTGGCCCTCGAGGCTGGGCACCTCCAGGGAGGGAGGCGAGCTGCTGGGCTGTCCCTGCCTGACACGTCTGCTTCACCTGTCCACCCTCGCTCAGGAGAGCTGGGCTGAGGCTCCCTGGCTGCATCTCTATGGAGGGGTGATGCCTGTTGCATCACATCGGAGTTCCTGGGCAAGTGCTGCTGATGTTGCTTCCACGTGGGAGGTGGGACAGAGCAGGGCATTTTAAAGGGGCAGCTTCTGTTTTCCTGTGGCTTTCTCACCTGCACGGAGCCACTGCCACAGGACCTGTGCAGGGGTGCGGGGAGGGTGTGGTGCTGGAAGAGCCTTCTCTTTCCATGACTCAGGGGCACCCACCTTTGGGAGGGATGGAGGGAGAGCAGGGGTAAACAGGCTGAGCCCAGGACGGCTGTGTGTATGGCTCAGTTTGTACCCAAGCTGTTCTTTTGTGTAGCAAGCCCTCCCAGGGTACTTTTCATGTTACATTGCTTTGCTCTGGAAGCTGATTTGGGGAGGAACTGTGGAAAAATGGAAGTAGTTTAAGGTGTGTGGCGCAATGGTATAGCATTATTGAACAGTTAGGAACTCTATGCAGTGTGATCAAAGAGCTGTGTATGCCCATAATATGATTTTACAGCCATTTTGTAAAAGCAGTAAAATACCTAATAATCAATTTGGCTTCAAGTACATTGAAGACTTCTAGTTGGAAACTGCAGACAGAGTGATGAAGATTCTTCCACAGTATACGCAGTAGGCTTTTGAGAGGGTACACACACCAGGACCATGGCAAGCTGTACATATATACTCATTTGTGAAGTCCAGCCTGTGCGTGTGCTGTAATTCCTTGCCTTCGAAATGAAAATATTTTAAAATCCTGAGACTTGTCAGTTTGCATCTTTTGGAATTTATTTGTGTTATTTAGCAGGAAATGTTTGCTCCTTGTAAACAACTATCAACTGTCTTATGTTTTAGATATCTGTAGTGTTTTCAAAGTTTAAAATATGCTGCTTAAGTTGTTCGCTGTTCTCTATTGGGATCAAGGTTAATCTGGAATAGAAATTACTTGGGTTACTTTTTCACAGGTATATGGTGTTTCTGAAATAAATGCCTGTTTGCCATTTTTTTATGATTTATAGAAATGGATTAAAGTTATAGCTGATTTGTTAAGCTTCTTATATGGAGTGGAGGGGGTTTTATGCCATACTATATAAACAAATTTTATAGCCTATGATATAGTAACTTGTGTTTATAATTGAGCTCTTCTCGGTGCCTTTTTGTAAATGTCTCCATAACAACACTACATCCGAAGTATTGGAGTACATCATCTTGTGGCTTCTCATTTTGGAATAAGTTACAACTCTCTAAGAGTTCATTTTAAATAATAATGCCATGAACCACTGTTAAATCAAAATTGATTAGAAAGGGATTAACCTATTAAATGAGAAGACAAACACTCCTCACATAATCTTCTGTCCAGAGGTTTCAGAATGCCATCAGTATTTGCAAAACCTTTGAGTTTTTTCTTACATTTTCATTGTTCTGGGTCTCAAGACAATTTTACTGGCTATAGTCAAAATTATGTTTTGTGTTTAAAATAAACGAGACTTTTAGATCTTGAGTAATTTCCACTTTGACAAGGCATATGCTAGTATCAATAATTCAATCTCTGTAAAAGTGAAGGGAAAGTATTTCTTGCAATTATATTAGATCATTGAGTTATTTAGGTTGTTGAATGCTTCAGGTTATGATTGGTTTGTTGTCACCCTAAAATAAAAGTGCTGATACTGTGATTTTTTTTGTTGGTCACATAGTGTGATATAAAACTTCATCTTTGGGTTTTACACAACTAGCTACTTGTCTGAATTAGAAAATGCACTCAGACTGCAAAAACATCCAATCTGTAATTCCTTAGAGAGTCCAATTTAACTAAGGTACAGCAATATCTAATTTGAATTGTTTATAGTAAGGGTTTTTGATGCTTTAGAAATACTAACTGTGGAACAACCTTTGTTGGAGGCTACTGTTGAACTATACCAATAATCTAGGGTTATTGTATAGTCAAAACTTTTATTTGAGTTAGAATTAGAGAAACCTTATAGAGATTCTTATTTAAAATTCATATGCTTAGTTTTGCTATTCAAAATTCTATAAGGAATTTAGTGATTGTGGAAGATGATTTGTAATTGCAGGTAATACTGATAATATTCTATGTCTGTATATTTATTGTAACCAAAATATTTTAATAAGCAGACATTTTATTCCTAAATTTATTAGTGAATTTTTTAACAATATAGTTTAAAATTTTTAATGATACTTTTCATGTTTTAATATTCATAAAATATTGGGAGTTTTCCTTAATTTTTAAAATAATCCTGGTTGTTACCATATACATTTTGGTTTGCCATTGTGGAGATTTATCTTTTCAAGGATTAAATTGTTGTTTTTTAAATTACATGTTTTATTTCTCTCTTAACTGAGATTTGAAAAGCCAGGCAACTAAAACATTTCTCTATACCTATCTTTGAAGTTTTATTTAAATACTCTGTTGAACTGTGTAATCAAACTGATCATCCTTCTAGGAATGTTTTCATATCTTTTATTTAGAATACCATTCTTTGGGAAATTAAAATAATGTGAAATTTTGTCTATCACATACACATACAAATAAACACTCAAGAAAAAGTTTTAATGTATCACTTCACTTACACTGGCTGGAGTACATGTTCTTTTTGATGTGTTTGCAAATGTATAAGAAATAAATATAAATTTGTTCTTTTTATACTAATAACATATTAGATTCCTTAGTTACTTGAGTGAGAAAAGAATTTCAGAAGGAGAAAGCTGAATCTGTCTAGCAATATGTAAGATAGTCAACATTTTCAATGTAAAAGGGCTATAAATTGTTCCTTCTGCCATTTTTAAAATGTTTTAAGAACCTGATAAACACCTTTTCTAAAAGAATCAATACTTTAAATGTATATCATCACTACCAAAAAACAAAGGTAAAACTTTAAATTTTTTAGCAGGAATTAATGTAGACAGCATGTTTAACCAATTGGCTATAAATTGTTCCTTGTGCCAATTTTAAAATGTTTTAAGAAGCTGATAAACACCTTTTCTAAAAGAATCAGTACTTTAAATGTATATCATCGCTACCAAAAAACAAAGGTAAAACTTTAAATTTTTTAGCAGGAATTAATGTAGGCAACATGTTTAACCAATTAGTAAAGTGTTTAGGTAGCCTTGAGAAAGGGTTTACAAATAAGTTAAATCTGAGGGCAGGGTACATCCAATGGATGAACTGTAAAGGTAGCTATGATTTTAGAATTCATATATGGGAATTCTTTTCCATTCTACCATAAGAACACTTTAGAGGTAACTAATCTTTGCTTTTTATATTTATTTCATCCACTAAATTTTTTGAAATATGCAAACCTGAAATCACCATGTTACTGCTTTTCCTTTATGTCAGGGCATTCTTTATATATCCTTCATAAATATAATTTTTAAATTTAATTTCAGAAATTAAATTTAAAGATTTAGATTATTTTAGAAAAGTAATATAGTTACTTTTATAAAAGTGTATAGTTATTAACACTTGAAGTTATGAAAAGTAGGTCTGAATGAGAGATCTAG